CAAAGCTGTACCTTATATTTTCCAGTTATTTGGAAACGAGAATGAAGTTGGCTTCTCACTCGGGCACGAATCGAGGATTATTTCAAGTTTTTTGTTCTGGAAACCGGTTCAATGTCTTTGTACCTGAGACTTCTCGTGGATGGGAACTAGTTTTTTCGAAATGGCTTGAAATCCTTCTGGAATTTTTGGTCAGTGCTCCGTGAGGTTCGAAATCTCGAGGGTTTCCTTCCTGAAGGTGCTGGCGATTTAAACTGTGTTGTGAAATGAGAACCGAAGGCGAATTAGGACTATAAAGTAGTGCCTCGGTTAGTGGACTCGAGCTGGACCAGTGGATAAACTGAGTGATTTAGAGCTGTTCGAAATGTTGAATCCATCCCAGGGCCCTCAGCGAAAATATCTTTCGAAGAATCCTCATTGAAACATATAAAATATTAAGAAACACGTTTTCAAAAATTTGCGAAAGACCATCAAGAAAATGTTGCAATGAAAAAAAATCCTTGGGCGACTTGAATTGTTAAGAGCTCTAAAATTTCCCGCAGTACAGTATTATGATCCAAAGAGGGGTCCTTTATGTGGAGCAAACATTTTTGGCAGCTTGAGCCCATTGTGCAGAGAGATCCGTTATGCAAGACATCCATGATCCGGGTTATTGCAGCAGTCTCTCAAGATGGCGCCACCATCACATGGTGTCCAGCAGAAGATGAGATTCCATCATGGCTGCTGGTGAGTGAACTTTTTTTTCGCTTTTCCACAGCTCATTTAGGTGAGTAGGTAGAATGAGAAATGTCATTGTAAATAAGGTCAGAATTGAAATTTATTCCTTCACATTTACATATCTTCAATGTTGAAATTTTGATTCAAGTTCACCATAGCCTCATGCCAACTTTTTGTTGGAATATGTGTTGGGGAATACTTGGCCTGAGAGAATTATTGCTTTGAATGCTTGACAATTCAGAAATCTTGACTTTCTGGTAATGTTATACATTTATATTAATCTTTTTTTTTCTTCAAATTTTGTGAACATCTCTGAAATAAGTTGTATCACAGGTAGAAGGTTCCTCAATGAAATGAAGTTAAGGTTTTCACAAGTTGGCAGTGATTCAAATCAAATAGCAACTTCTGATTGCTGAAAAATGTCACTTTTAGGTCCATGTACAAAAGATGCCACCAGAACACATCAATATCCCTAAAATCTTAGAAGAGCAAATGCCATTGCCAGGACTACAGCCAGTCTAGAAAGTGGTAGTGTTGGTGATGCTCTGCTTCTGCTTGGTCCAGCTATGAAAAAATAAAAGAATATTTATTGAATTATGGGGGGTTAGATATACAGGTACTGTATTATTTTTCTTATTTAAAAGTGAAACTCTTGTTGAACGGAGTCATTTTAGGGTTGATTGGACAAGTTTTGTCATAGATACTGTTTATTGAACCAAAATTTGAATACAATTGTTGTTATTGGACAGGAGCTGTTGAAGAAACATTATTTTTGAAAAATAACTTGATGCAAGAAAATGTAATTTAATGAGATCCTATTGTGCTCCATTTGTATATGTTGGTGAATCAACACACTTCCTATTGTTCCATCTTGTTGAAAATTTCCATATTTGCACAATGCAATTTATAGAAAATTTTCTTTAACTTATTTGATTTCACTCTGTTGAAAATTCTGGAATTTTGAAAATTTGATTTTCCATGCCTCTTATTGTAACATAATAATTTTATTTTCAAGAATGTCACCAGTTATTATTTGTTTATACAGTACTTTTATTTTATTGTTCTCTGTGACAAATTTTGGGAATTTTTATTGAAATTTGATTTTCCACACTTCTTGAAAAGTGATTAAAAAATTAATATTACCAGTTATTGGACTCCAAGGT